TTAGTCCCTTATCCCTGCAGTCAACCATTCCATTGTAACAAGTACACAGATCAGGACACATCGGCTCTCTGATACATCCAGAAGGTGCAACGTCTTCTACACCTATTTGTAAGCACATTTATTAAATATATTAACATATAAACTAGTGTTTAGACCACAGAAATATTTTTAATATTTATAAAGGAACGAGATAAAATTAAAATTAAATGAATAGAGAGAGATCATCATTGATTAAATATGTATAATGTTTCCATCTCTTCGAAACCGGGAAATTTTCTATGTTCAAAAGAACCTGTTTTAAACGGAAATACTCTTCGAAACCGGGAAATTTTCTGTACAAAAGAACCTGTTTTAAACGGAAATACTATTCGAAACGAGGCAATTTTCTACGTTCAAATGAACCTGTTTTAAACGAAAATACTCTTCGAAACGGGGCAATTTTTTATGTAGAAAAGAACCTGTTTTAAACGGAAATACTTTTCGAAACGGGGCAATTTTCTACGTTCAAAAGAACCTGCTTTAAACGGAAATAGTCTTCGAAACGGGGCAATTTTCTATATTCAAAACAACCTGTTTTAAACAAAAACCTGCGTAAACAAATAGAAAAAAAATAGCTGCAATTTTCAAATTGCACACCTGTACAGTACATTTCCATTGTCGTTCGTTCATCAGTCCGTCTGTCTGTCGAGAACGGAGTTAGATAAATGTAAATCCAGACCAGATATAGAAAGCTTAAAAGCAGGAGACTCCAATTAAATATACACGTTCTTCCTGCCTGGACCGAATATCATGTGATTTTCATTTGAATATATATACATAAATACGACATTTTATGATATTTTTAACCTCAATTTTTTTTTTAAATTTAAACCTAAAAAAACCCTTCTATTTTTTTTAATTATAATTATTAAAATCTTAAACGTTTTAAGTATTTATAAATCAGGTGATGGAAACAACTATTTTAGAGAGAAAGAAGGCGAAAGATAGTGAAAGAGAGGGGGGTTCTTCAGAAGAGATAAGAAGATGAGATAAGATAGAGATTTTTCACGTGACTTTTCAGCATCCTCTTACATCCAACGGGCTTATTCATGCCCAATTTCATAGCGAAATTACTACTTGTACAAACAGATCCGCCTTAGAAGGTACCACCTATCACCTTCATCCTATAAACCTATTATTAGTACGAAGATGTGATATATTCTTCGACTCCAAAGCTTTAAAACTTTGAATGAATTTGATGATATCTTTGTATACCAAGAAAATAAATATGAAGAAAATATCCTCATCAATATCCTTTAGCGACAATTTAGTAAATTTGCCTTTCAATTTTTTTACTAGGAGCCACCCAATTTGCCTTTCAATTTACCATTTTGCACGCCACTACTTATATATATATATTTTTTTTTTAATACTCGATTATATTATAGACATTTTTAAATATTACGCATTAAATCCCCGTTTTATCCGCTAAAGATGTAAAGATATTCAATGCCATTATGTATTTACCTAACGAGTTGCGTTTTTATTAAGTACATAAAAGATGAAAAAAATTGCCTGAAGGTAATCCCAAAGGAAATAACATCAATTGCCAAAAACCATAAAAAGAATGAAATAAAATTTTGTTTTTGTTTCGCAGTTCATCAACTTTATCAACTTTGTCCACCGTGAACACATCGAAAGCCGAACGTGATCGAAATACAATCTCCTATTTAGTAAGAAAACGTTCATGTTTAAGCTACTCGCACTTCTTTAACATTCTGTTTGAGTTCCCTTGGCTACTTGTTGAATTTTCCTTCATACACATTAATGGACATTTATGTTTCTCAATAAAATCGATATGCTACATATTGAATATGTTGGAAAGTTAGCGGGTACGAGTCTGTATGTGTGCTCATCTGTGTGTGTGTGTGTGTGTGTGGCTTTAACTACAGAAACTTATTTACTCTGTCCTTATCTTGTTTATACAGCATGCGTCTGAACACCGTTAATACAAGTACTTAAGATAAGTGTAATTTACTATCTTAGCCAATGGTTTCGGGTATTTTAAAATACCACACAATAATTGGTAAACTTTCTTGCGGTTTGTTGTCTTTAATATAAATAAAGTTAGATTAATCGCATCCTTCTATGTCAATTTGTGTATTAAAAGAATTTAATCTCTCTCTCTCTTTTTTAAACTCGCTACTTTAAATTAAGTGAAAAAAATTTCTTATTGGGAATTAAAAATACTCTATAATTCACTTTCGGATAGAAGCGAAAGTAAATTTAATATCGGTTTAAACGAGCATATAACAGGCTTATTGCTTTTGCTTCAGGCTGTGAGCCTATAGGCTATTATCATATAAAGAGACACCTGATGTTGCATCAAAGCTATATATGGTTATCATGAAGTGAGTTCATTGATCGCTTGTCAAGCAACTGTAACATTGGAGCTCTAGATTGGATAAAATAGAATCGAAGACTCTTATCAAACAGAATTTTTCACTTAAAAATATATTATTTACAATTCTAATTTTAAAAAGTTTTAAAGACGTTTTAATAAGAAAAATTCATTTATTTTTCTGTAAAATTTCTACGTTTAAATTTAAAAAATTAACTGTTTGTTGTAATTGCTGAAAGTATGATACATAAATTATTCACTAAGCTTATGAAGATACTTCTAAACATTTTATCAATATCAAGTTAAATTTATGTTTGTAAAGTTTAAGAAAAGAATTATTTTAATTATTATAAGTAGCATAATTTATGAAGGATTCATAAAAGAAACTTCTTTACTTAATGTTTTCAATGCTAAAGTCACAGATGTAAAAACTCATTTCGCTTTACAATGAATTCCTTTTATATTAATCGTTGCAGATATACGAAAGTCGTCTCCATTAAGAAGACGAGAAAAATTAATAATAATCCTTTTAGAAGAAGAAAAAAAAAACGAATTTTTGAGTCAGCAAAAGCGAAAACTTACTGTCCCACAGGATTCTACAGATTCTGAAATATGAGTCGTCTAGAAGCAATTTAGTACTCCTTAAAACCCAATTCTTTATTATCCATCAATCTTAATAAAATATTTGAATTTCAAAATTTCAATTTATTTAATCTTACTTTGGAATCTCAACTTAAAACATTTTCCAATCTGTCATCAAGAATTATTAACAACGTCTATCGATCAACAACATGACAATATAAATCACAATAATTTGCACCTTTGACATTAAACAATGGTAGGGATAGGACTTGGCAAGATTCGTTTATAACTCGATCGTTAATTGAATTTTATGCAATCTGCCATATTAACGTAGATGGGGTGCCAATTTTCTCTCTTTCTTTACGTCCATTAACCAGTAGGGTATTGGCCATTGTAAATTTATTCGGACCAATCGAGAATTTCATTTTCTCAAACTTGATTATAACATCATTCAGCTTGACTCAACTGAGATATAATTTTCGAGATTTGGCGGAGTTAATTTAGAAAAGCAGATGAAAGAAACCATTTATTTTTAATCTGTTGGAAGAGACTTTATTCGGGATATTTTAGGTCTAAGCTACTCTTTTTTTTTTTTCTTCTTCTTCTTCTTCTTCTATCGGGAATGAACTTATAAGGGCATTAAGAAGCAAAAGCCATTTTCTTTTTGTTATTGCCTATCATATTTTTTTTTTTACCATTGCCACAAATTCCTTGCCATACTCATGGTTAAATGGGCGCCGATAATGAGTAGAGGAATTCGCATTAGATGCGCTTTGTTACCTAGCTGTGCTTCACCTATCGAAAGGGAAATCTCCTTACTTCAGTGACTTAAAGCTGCCTTCCCTTTTCCGTTAAGTCTAAATCGAATGAGGAGAGTATCGTAAAATGGTGTGGGTGTCAGTAAAATCCCGATAGACTATTTGCTATAACACCATCTTTTGCCAGAAGATAGCGTCCTTGCCGTAAAACAGCCCAATTTCTTTCTATCTTTACTCTTCCTGGCAAAACTGGGTAGTAAGATAACAGCTTCTTTTATTTCCCCCACTTCGCCTTTTTTTTTCTGTTCCGATATGTAAACATGGAGAACAGTTTTATGTTCTTTGGACATCGTAAACTGCACGCACGCACACAAATATTAGTATTAGAAGTCTTCCTCACTACCCCACATAGAATTACTTTAATTTAAAATCCAGAATTTATCTTAAACTAAGAAAGAAACCTTTAAAAAAAAAAAAAAGAGAGATCTTTATTTTCTTCCCTTTCCTAAATAATCCATTATTTTAATGGATGAAAACTAGTTAAAATTTAAGAAAGCGATCGAAGTTTTGAATTGTTTCCCTCCCCGGGTGACGATTATAATTATGCATATGCGAAAATTTATAAGATTTAAGCATCATAACAATTTCGTCTTTGAACTATACTGAAATGAGTTTAAAATTAAATTGCATTATTAAGATTCGTTAATGGACTTCTCTTTGTAAGCATTAGCCATTTTCTAAAATCAACTATGCAGCTTACAAATCTCTTTCATCTATACTATCCACTGTGTTTATGTAGCACAATTAGTAATTCCGGTGGTATATAATTAAAATTTAATTTAGTTTGCTAAATATATCAAGCAAAATATATATATATATAAATCCGCTTAGAATTTTAGTGGTGGTGTCTTTTTTTTTCCTTCTCTCTCTTTCTGTCTCTCTCTCCTCCCTTCTTCTTTTTAATATGGAAAAAGCGGGCAATGCAAACCTATCGAAATTGGCAAGAGTAATATCTCGGCAACTTAACTGGACCCAATCTCCAATATTCTCTGCAGATAACGATAACAATTAAAGTCTAAGTTGCAAGAGGGGGTAGGGAAAAGTAGAGAAGATAAGGTAGTTTGTCGGCGAAAGTCCTGATCAGCATTCAGTCGCATCAAGCACTGATGCTTTGGCTTTATAGACGCAGCTGGCGCAATAACTTACCAAGCTTTGACGCAAATCTATTGGAATGGACTTTTTCCTGATGGTGTTGTTGTAACCATCGGCTGGCTGCATGCTAATGTAATAAAATGTTCCAGACTTGAAACATTACTGGTTGCTTAAATTTTATGTATGTCACTAAATCCAGACGACGGCTATTTGTATTCTATTTGAGGAGCATTTACAAGACGATTTCTACCAATAACTTGTTCGGGCTACATTCAAAACTAATTTTTCTCTACCTGTATTATACTTGTATACAAATTTTCTGTATTCTGCTTTATTCTTTTAAAAATTAATTATATATATATATATATATTTTTTTTAATACTCGATTATATTATAGACATTTTTAAATATTACGCATTAAATCCCCGTTTTATCCGCTAAAGATGTAAAGATATTCAATGCCATTATGTATTTACCTAACGAGTTGCGTTTTTATTAAGTACATAAAAGATGAAAAAAATTGCCTGAAGGTAATCCCAAAGGAAATAACATCAATTGCCAAAAACCATAAAAAGAATGAAATAAAATTTTGTTTTTGTTTCGCAGTTCATCAACTTTATCAACTTTGTCCACCGTGAACACATCGAAAGCCGAACGTGATCGAAATACAATCTCCTATTTAGTAAGAAAACGTTCATGTTTAAGCTACTCGCACTTCTTTAACATTCTGTTTGAGTTCCCTTGGCTACTTGTTGAATTTTCCTTCATACACATTAATGGACATTTATGTTTCTCAATAAAATCGATATGCTACATATTGAATATGTTGGAAAGTTAGCGGGTACGAGTCTGTATGTGTGCTCATCTGTGTGTGTGTGTGTGTGTGTGGCTTTAACTACAGAAACTTATTTACTCTGTCCTTATCTTGTTTATACAGCATGCGTCTGAACACCGTTAATACAAGTACTTAAGATAAGTGTAATTTACTATCTTAGCCAATGGTTTCGGGTATTTTAAAATACCACACAATAATTGGTAAACTTTCTTGCGGTTTGTTGTCTTTAATATAAATAAAGTTAGATTAATCGCATCCTTCTATGTCAATTTGTGTATTAAAAGAATTTAATCTCTCTCTCTCTTTTTTAAACTCGCTACTTTAAATTAAGTGAAAAAAATTTCTTATTGGGAATTAAAAATACTCTATAATTCACTTTCGGATAGAAGCGAAAGTAAATTTAATATCGGTTTAAACGAGCATATAACAGGCTTATTGCTTTTGCTTCAGGCTGTGAGCCTATAGGCTATTATCATATAAAGAGACACCTGATGTTGCATCAAAGCTATATATGGTTATCATGAAGTGAGTTCATTGATCGCTTGTCAAGCAACTGTAACATTGGAGCTCTAGATTGGATAAAATAGAATCGAAGACTCTTTTGTTACTGACTCGATACGGATATAAAATTTATAACCGAAAGATCAAAAATCACTTTATATTTTGCTTTAATTATAGAAAATAATAATAATAATAATAAATTTTTGAGGGAGTAAGTTTTTGAGATAATTAGAAGCATAACTTCATAAACTACTCAACTCAAAATATTTAATACATAAAAATATAAAGTAAATTGAATTAATTCGATTTTTTTAAACCTCTTTTCATCCCATTTTCCTCATTTCTTCTTCTTCATCTTCTTTTTTTTTTTCAGTGTCGTGCCTATAAAGATCAAAGAAAAGTAACATAAATAACATTCGTAAAAAGGAATCTTTTCAAGGAATTTTGTAATAAAATGTAAAAGTTTTTGTTTAATTTCTTATTTTTATGTTCGTTTTTATTAAGTGTAGAGTGTTCCTCCTATTCAAATTAATGTAGGAGTAGTAGCTTATTGTTTTTCATGCACGCTACTTTGCACAAAACCATCACGTGATTAACAATATATATATATATATATATGTATATTTGTCTTGTTTGGTCGGCATTCATAGCATAAAAAAAACTACATACTTATAGGGAATAAATGTGCTGGGTTTCTTTTATTGGTTTTAATCTTCAGAAAGAGTATTTCTACTTCTTTTCATGTATATTTATACACGTGAATAAATCTTTAAAAGATTCCATCTTAGGTATATACAAAATAACTTCAACATTCGTCTTTGATCTTACGTTTTAATATTTTAAATGCATTTTTCTTCTTGTTTTTAAGATAGAAACGATGGCATTAAGAAGTTAGAAATGATGACATTAAATTATCAATTAGTAAATTATTATTAAATGCTTGTGGAAACAAAAAATAAAAAACGATAAAAGGAAATGCTTAATGATAAAATTTAATCTCTCGTCTGAGAAAATCATCGATAAAAGGAATAAGTGTTGTATGACTGACAAGTTGGATGTTACGTTGTTAATGGCAATAGATCAGGATGACACAGTGTGTGAGATGAGCGCTTCATATCCTTATCGACTCAGCAGCCATGTTGGATCGAGTGCAAAAATGAAAAGTTTCGTTTAATTAATAAGGGCAATTTTTTTTTTATTGTTTTCTGGTAAGCTATTGTCAAAAGATAATATAATTAACATATAACGGTGAGGACATCTTTTAAAAAAATTAGTTAGATATAGGATAACTCCGTATTATCGTGTCATTGATCAGTTTGGATGATGATAGTCCCAGTTCGTAGCTAATAGAAACCGCCACTTAGATCGATGTTGTGCTTACAACATGAATTATTCAACGAAAGGAACAACATGACAGAATGGAAATAGCTGATGGATTATGAAGGTTTATTTTTTCCTTTTTTCCTTCTTATTCTTGTTAAATCCTCATCTTACGATCTACTGAACTTGTTCCTTTTAATGGAGTTTGCTAATTAATGGAGAAGACGGAGAGGGAGATGGAAGCTGTTAAATGTTGTTGAGAAAAATTCAATTTTTTCCTTTCCTTTTATATTGTAATGAGATAAGGACGATTTAATATTTAAAAAAAGAGAGAGAGAGAGAGAGTAGAATTTTCGGATTTTCTTAAATTTTTATTTTCGATTAGATTATTATTGTTAATGTTTAATTCGTATCCAATTTACATGTATGTAATCTATATAGATTTATTCATGAGTCATTTCAGTTGTT